CCCGCCCCCCCCCGGCCGTGCATCTCCTCCCCTCTCTTGTGTCAGACTTAGTTAAATGTAGCAGAACAGCTGCCTGGCGTGTGCTGGTGCAGCTTATCAATAACTCTGACAACATGATTTATGGTGTACGTTTTGCACATAAGATCACTGTCTGTAATTGCCTCCCAAATGTATTTCATGCATGCTTTTTTTTATTTATTTATTTTCTCGACTTCTGCAAGGAAAAGAAAAGGGGGAGAAAAAAAAGGAGCGAGAGAGAGAGAGAGAAGAAAGGGCTCAGGGTCTAGAAAACCGTGAGTTCATTATCCAGCCAACTGCACACCTCAGTGGCTCGAGTTGACTGGGATATTAGGGTGTGATCCCACCGCTGTTCATTTTCATTTTTCTCCCTTCATCAGCCATTATGGCCTCGCTAATGGTGGGAAAGTTGCAGATCGCAGTTGTACTTCTTCCTGTTTCTTTTCTTTTTCTTAGGAGACAAACGTGACTCTCTGCACAAATACGCCGCCCCCTCCTCTTTCCGCCTCCACTAAAACCTAAATGACTCAGATTTCAGTTTAATAACTCGAAACAGTCTGTAGAAAAGTTGATTAAATCAAGCCGCCTCAGATGTGTCTTGTTTCTCTCTCTCTGTGACAGACGGCGGCGATACCGATCAGACGGATTTAACAGTCGAGCCTCGCGTATTAGAAAGCAAATTTCCCGCCGAGGGAGAATTCTCGCAATCGAGCCGCATCGCGTTGGAAAAGGCTGTCAGCCCCGTGGCGTTGTTCGAGTTTTAATTAACTGGCCTGAAAACGTTTTTTCCCCGTGCGACCGTTTACCTGTGTTATGACACAAAGACTGACAGATTACTAATAAGATGGAGTTTTAGATTGTTTTCAGGCTGTTTAATAATGTCACAGAGGGTTTTTTTTTTCTTAAAGCTTCACAAAACACAGAGCTGCAGTTCTGAGCTTTTGAAAAATCTTTTAAATTCCACACTGGGGATTTAACTTGCGTGTGGTGCCGCTACATTAATTATCTCTTACCTGCAGAACTGCCGAGAGTGATTCATGTTGGGACCGGCCTTGATGTTGCCTTTGTCTGGGTCATAGATAGTGGTAGCTCGAGCGTAGGCTCCTCCCAGGATGAATATAAATCCATTTAGGCTCACTGCAGGGGCGTATTTGTTATCTAAAGATATGAGAGACAAAAAAAAGGGAGCGAGACAGAGAGAGAAAGGAGAGGGAAAAACAGGAGAGATTTTTTATTTTGAAAAAACGAGAAAACAGAGCTATCGTTTGGATGTCATTCTCACTCACAGCAGAAATTTCCATTCGGTATAATGACATCAATTTGTTCTTTTTTTTCCCACCCTTCCTCCTGGTCCCCGCAGCGCATGCAAAAACGATCATCATCAACATTCTACTTATCACTTTACAGATATGCCCCACTCAAGATTGCTTTGGAAAAAACAAAAAAACAGAGTGGATACCAAAACCGATGAAAAAGCAGAGTTCATAAATCACGGTGGCTTTATTGGGTTCCACTCCAAAATATGTTTGGGCTTAGAAGCAATATAAAAGAGTTACCTAAGTCCCAATAATTCACAATTGCATTAGGCCCTGTGGCACCTCCGTAGATTTATAAAGAACCAAAAATAAGGAAAAGAAAAAGCAATGTGCGCATGTATTGGCAATACATGAGTGAACAGGTGGGATACTGCATACTGTGCATGGTGTATAATTCACTCTGACACTGTATATGGCGCGCGAGGAAAGCAGAGGCATTGAAGCAGCACCGCTGCAGAGGTATAGATGATGGGAAACAAAATGAAACAGTGGTTTGCGCGTAACGATGCCGGCTGGAAACCAGGAGTTTGCGAGCAGTGGCCCTGCTGTGCGGGAAGAGGAAATGTATTTCAAACTCCCGGCAATTTCTCTCTAGCAGACTGCAGCTGGCCAATTTACAAGCAGCATGAATAATGCACGGATACTTGGCCGTAAGCTGCTGTCCTCCCGTTTTCTGCCACAGTGGACGGGCATCCCTCATCGCAAACAGGCACCGGGAGGATTCGAGCCTGATGCCTTAATAAAGGCGGCGCTGGCAGCCCTAAAAAGCCTCACCTTTGTGTTTGATCCAGCTCCCCTTTCCTCTTACCTTTTGCTGAGAGGAGACTGGCATATTTCATTAAAAGGTCAGCTCTGGAGTTCAGAGGTGCTGCTGCTGATGATTATTGAATTGGCTGTGCTGCATTATGTGCTCTAGGAGCGCGCTGCCATGCTGGGGCTCTGTGTATATAGTGCTGCTTTGAAATAAATGATAATGGCAGCAAGTGCCAACCTCCTGGGTTGAAAAATGAAGCCAACGAGAAAGTGCCAAAAACTTAAGCTGCTGGAATGGCCACTTAAGGTTAGCTCCAAAAGTAAGTCAGTCCCTCTAGACTCTAATGCTTAGCTTTACAGCAGAAATAAACATGTACAGCCTGGTACAAAAAACTCATTAAAACTTTAGTAAAGCTTGAAGATGTGCATATTTAAGGGCTTAGACATTCTGAGATTCTGGTGGGGTGTTTTTATTATTCGGTTGTACTAAAAGGTCCCGTCTTTGTGGTAAGAATATTTTATTTGAGCCACTTTTTTCAATAGTCAAAAATCTTTTTTGACTCCTTTTTAATGCTACAGTTATTTACAGTTAACCAAGTAGCTGATGACTCTTGCCCAAATATAGTGATGTTAAGTGAAAAAAAATACCACATGCAAAGCCTTTTGTAAAATTGTAGTCCACAAACCCGTGGGTAACTACAAAACAGCTACGTTGATCTTTTATTATGTTAGTTAAAAGTCACAGTGTGTAAAATTAAGATGATGTCAGTAGATTGCAGTTGACCGAGTTCTACTTTCATGTGTATAATCCACTGTAAGACAGCCGTCTCTGGTCGCCGTCCATCTGTAGTGAATGTAGGCTGTCAGTCGGCTGTTTGCCTCAGCTGTCAATATGCGTCCACATTTATTTACAGTGGAGCAGATTGTGAAACGAGTCAAGTTGTGTCAGAGAAGCTAAATTTGTCTGATGACAGTAATACTGAGGTGAGTTGTTGAGCATATCCTGAACTTTTCCGCTGGTAAACTCTTAGCTGCTGTTAGCCTCTGTTAGCTGCTGTTAGCCTTTGTTAGCTGCTGTTAGCCTCTGTTAGCTGCTGTTAGCATCTATTAGAAAAAACTGTGTTTTTAAGTGTCTCTAACATCCAGGTTTGCTAGCTCTCTCTTAGTTGATAGATACAGAAAATGATTCGCACCCACAGCCATCACGCTTTTCAATTGTCATACAAATAGCGGATGATCCATACCAGAGTTATTGTTCTTATTCTTAACATTGTTCAAGTCAACACTAAGCAAATAAACTCTCATATGATGTGAGAATGTAGTTAAACAGTTTATTAGAGGTAAAGTGTGAGTTTTAGGATACTCGAGCCTAACATTAGCTGGCTAATTGTTAGCTTATAACTAGCTAATGTTATCATTTTGCTGGCTCGTTGTTAGCTATCTGGAGACGGGTCAGTCGCATGTCTGAACTGCTGACAACAATTATGACAGTTTCTGGAATAAATTAGCATGTTTAGACATGTTTTGGTGTGTTAGAGCCCTAACTGCAGTTCAGGATGAAGAGGACAATAAGGGCTTGGTGTGCTACATATACTGCTGATCTCTAACCACATACATAAAATGAAGTTAGGCAGATTGTCCTTTTTTTCTATCAAATAACCTAAAAAAATATTCAAGGGCTCAGCGTTGGGTGATCTTGTTTTTTCTGATAAGAACATTTTGTTTGAGCCTTTTTTTCGCTAGCCAAAATCTTATATAAGGCTACAATTGTGTTGAGTTGTGCTATCCTCCCTTTCAAATATGATTACATTAAGCTAAAAATACCAAACGCAAAGTTTTAAATGGTCCTGCACACAGCTGTGGGTAACTACATAACGGCTACATCCACGTTTGCTAATGTAAAGCAGGTGTAATGTCTACAACATCCAACATCTTAGTTCAGTGGTGGCATGCTAACATTTGCTAATTAGCACCAGAAACTTAAGTAATGGAGTTGATGAAGAGTTCAAAAGAAAAATCAAGAGCTCATCAAAGTTAGTCCTTGCACATTTTCCAAAAAGCACTCGAAGAGTTGTTGAAATATTTCACTTAAAATCTCAAATACCAAACTCATATGAGTGCTAGAGAAAAAGAGGATCACCAAAGTCATGAATGATTCATCCCCCTGGGACCAGTGTCTGCATGAAATTTCATGGCATATCATTCAGCAGTTGTTGAACTATCTAACTTGTAGACTGACAGAGACAGACTACGCTGCTATTGCGGTTGAAAAATACAGTATTATTCACATATGACGATCCTGCAATCATTTACGTAGAGTGAAATGCAATCTTGAGTTCCACTGCAACCATCTGAGGCGTCAGCCTCAATTTCTGCCCTTGAGAAACAAGTTGCCACTGATTGGTCCTCCTCACATTCTGCCAGACGTGTTTATTTTCTTCTTTTACCTTCCTCGTCTCATTGATATGCTGCTGCCAGTCTTCCTGAGCGTATGTGTGTGTGCCAGCGTAAACGTGTGTACATGATGTTTTGTGTTAGGTCCCATAAACACAGAACACTCATTTCTCTCTGCTCTGTGCCTGAGGCAGAATAATAACAGGATGCTCTCAAAGGAAAAACCTTCCTCTCTTTTCCCCCCATTGAAACTCTTGCCATCACTTCCTGCCTCTCTCTAGCGGACTAACAGTAAGCACCGAGTTTGAGTGCTTGGAGGAGTACCAGGCAGGTAAATCTCATAGTTCTTGTTTGGCAAGCCTCAGAGGACTGCTGCTGGGGTTCCACTTCTCTTCCACCGCTTTGGTTTTGTTCTCATCCCTTGGCCTTCGTTGCAGAAAACGAGTCATTTTTCGCTGAAACAACATTGAGATACAGTAAAGGGAGCGAAATCTGTCTGTGTCAGCTGAAAACTTTTCAATTTTGAGATGGACTTTGCTATTCTTGAAATATCACAATAGATTTTGTCTGCTTTCGCAGCTGGAAGGTTAGAGAGCTCAGCCAGGAATCCACAGCTGACCACGTTCTACATAAAAAATGAATAAAAAGAGGCAACAAAACAAGGTTTTAACTCTGCAGCGGTGATAGAAGTATAGCTGTGCCTGCGGGGCAACATGGGCTGACACACTCTCCCACACCTTGATAAAACAGCTTAGTCACCAAGCCTGGGTTCCCCCCGGGCTGAGGTCAAGGACATCAAACAAAAGAAAACGCACACACGCGCACACGGGTATGATGAATTGTGTAGCTGCTGTCTCAACAAACACCTTGTTCTTCCCTATCTCGTTCCTGCATCAACACCGGCAGCAGATATCCGACGCTGTAAAACCAGCACACAGCAACAATAACCCACACAAATAGAGTAAAGAACAATTCACTCAATCAGACCAATACTGTTTGCTGTACAGATGTAGACAAGACCGCAGTCTCTGATAAAAAGCCAAACAGCAGCCTCCATCACAAAGCCGCAGCGGCATTACATCGACGCTGAAATGTGCGGCCAATCACGGGAAGAAACGCAAACAAGGCATAAACAAGACGTTCTCCTCCAAACGACGGAGGATGAGGTGATCCACTCCAGCTCGCTGTATCATACCAGAGAGCGTGAGGGAAAAGGACAAAGAAGCGTCAGTTCTCTCTGCCAGTAGCTTAGATAAGATCACAACAAGGTAATTGGAGCAGCGAAAAGTTCTCCCTTTTTTTTGCCTTCCTCTTCACACACAATGTTATGCAGTGTGAGGAGAATAAGAGCTGCCTTTGAAATGATGGGCCGAAATAGCTGAAAGAGGATGATGTACTTTAATTCAGCATGATGGGTGCATGTCCAATTAGGTCGCTATGGAAACACTCCACCTTCTCCACCTCCTCTCGCTCTGTCACTTTCCCTTCCTCTTCCTCCACCTCTGTAAATGGCGCTCTCGAGGGCCGCGGCCGGTCTGCCGTTACGTCATTCGGGGGAAACGGTCGGTATCCCGACAGAGAGACCTGGGCAGTGGCGCTCCTGCTCCCGGGCTTTTGGAGTCTACCGGTCGACGGGGACCCGTCTGTCAGCTGGGGGACGTCGGCGGGTTAACTCAGGTTGGAGCAGCTCGCTGA